TCCAGCCACATCCTACTTCTGGGAAACATCCATACACAATACACACAAACACACACACACACACACACGCCCACACTATCACACACACACACACACACACACACACACACACACACACACATAGGGGCGCCGTTAGAGGGGGTAAAGTAAAGATGATTCTAAGGACTCACACACTTTTGGTGTCCCCAGAGGGTCTGGAAACAGCAGAGGGGATCAGTGAGGGTGAAGGGTCTGGAATCTGCTGTGTGTGCCTGATCTTGTGTGTGTTTGAGTCAGGATATGCTGCGGGACCCGAGCTTTGCGCTGCCGTTCTGGGATTTCTCCACCGGGGGCAGCGAGTGCGACATCTGCACTGACGACCTGATGGGGGCGCGCAGCCGCTTCGACTCCACTGCCATCAGCTCCAACTCCATCTTCTCCAGCTGGAGGGTGATCTGCGAGAGTGTGGAGGACTACGACACGCTGGGCACCATCTGCAACAGTGAGACACACACACACACACACACACACACACACACACACACACACACAGAGACACACACACACACAGAGACACACAGAGACACACACACACAGAGACACACACACACAGACAGACATCTGAGAAATGTTTAGTGTGAACATGTAGTTTACCTTGATTTTGTGCGTGTGTGTGTGTGTGTGTGTGTGTGTGTGTGTGTGTGTGTTTGAGGTACGGAGAGCAGCCCGATCCGCAGAAACCCCGCCGGTAACGTGGCACGGCCGATGGTTCAGCGTCTGCCGGAAGCTCAGGATGTGGCGGCGTGTTTGGAGATCGACGCTTTCGACACGCCGCCATTTTACTCCACATCATCCGACAGCTTCAGGAACTCCATCGAGGGTGAGATTAATAACAATAACAATAATAACAATAATAACAATAACAATAATAACAATAATAACAACAATAACAATAATAATAATAACAGTAATAATAACAATAACAATAATAATAATAAATGTGCTCGTATTTGTTGGTTGGTACACACACGTCAACACACAGAACCACATTTACATTAGTGGAAAATAAACAACGGATAATATATGTGTGTGTGTGTGTGTGTGTGTGTGTTGTTTATTAGCGAGTGTGTGGGTGTTTATTAGTGTGTGTGTGTTGTTTATTAGCCAGTGTATAGTTTATTAGTGAGTGTGTGTTTATTAGTGAGTGTGTGTTGTGTATTAGAGTGTCATGTGTTTATTAATGTGTGTGTGTGTTTGTGTGTGTGTGTGTGTTATCAGGCTACAGCGCTCCTGAAGGCCCCTATGACCCTGTAGTGCGCAGTCTCCATAATCTGGCTCACCTGTTCCTGAACGGGACGGGCGGGCAGACGCACCTGTCCCCCAACGACCCCATATTCCTGCTGCTGCACACCTTCACTGACGCCATCTTTGACGAGTGGCTGCGCAGACACACTGCAGGTGAACAGCGCCCCCGCTGGAGCTCGCCGGAACTGACCTTTATTATCCATTATGATTATAACTGTGTGTGTGTGTGTGTGTGTGTGTGTGTGTGTGTGTGTGTGTGTGTGTATGTGTGTGTGTTTCTCCAGATGTTTCCTCATATCCTCTGGAAAACGCGCCGATCGGACACAACCGCGAGTTCAACATGGTGCCGTTCTGGCCGCCGGTGCGGAACGCAGAGATGTTCGTGAGCGCGGCGGACAGCCTGGGCTACTCCTATGAGGTGCAGTGGCCAGGTCAGCTCACGGCTGCTGTCATTACTATTCTATTGTGGTGTTGTCTGGAGGCCTGGGCTAGCATCTAGATAGTGTACAGAAGGCGTATCTATACACCACCGCCAGAGGCCCGCAGCTCTGCACAGCTCAGCTCAGCCCT